CCCCTGTGCTGGGCACCTTTATTCTATTATCTGTAATCTGGGCAATACTTCCTTAAGGTGAGTATAATCTATTCATGTTTTACCCTTGCGGATGCTGAGGCTCAACAAGTTGAAGGAATAACATGAAAACAGCACACTGTACCCCAGGATTGCGTTAATGTACACAGTTATGCTATAAGAAATTTTAAAAAAATTTTTTTAAAGTTGAAGGAATGAGACGAAGGTCATATCCCTAACCCCTTAAATATCACAGCCAGAGTTATAAACCACTTTTGCTTGACTCCACAGCCAGTGCACCATCCACTACATGTGAACTCTAAAATACTCTTTTAAAAAGTGTGATCCTCTTTCACTTAAAAAAAAAAAAATCTAATATAACTGGTACACGAATGGGCTGCGAGGCAAGGGAAACCCTAAATAAAATTTACCCTTGTGTTGCAGCAAGTATTTAAAGATTTGTCAACTAATTCATTTGACATTTCAAAATCTTTTCTAGTCCCCTCCATAGGCAGTTTTAAAAATGTCTTTTCTGGGCTGTAATCTAACAGTCAGCAGACGTTGGATGCTCTCTCTGTTACCTTCATTTTCCCGATTTAGTTTTTCCTTCCAAAAGCTCTCATGCACCTGGCTGGTAAGATGTATTTCTGGCTGCATCATTTTCATTTGACTTTTTTTTTTTAATACGCATTAATACTGCAGGGCCCCGGAGGGAGACCTCCTCAGACTTTCTTGATTACCAGATGTCACTCTTTCTATGTAACAACCATCTAATCACCGCTGTCTTTTGCCAAGAAATGAGAAAAGTATTTGTATTTGGAAAAACCAAGCTACAACATGTGAAGCGTTCTAAGAACAACAGCCTTCCCAAAATCCATATGGGCTTTTCCCATCTCAGTTTATTTTTCTTAAAGATAACAGCCACACAGTATTTGTAGTTAGGCTTAACAAGCGTCCGTGCGGTATTTCACTTTGGCGTTTTCGACTTCATTATACATCAATTACATTGTAAGTAATCATTGAAACGATGTAACATGTACAGCCAGTGTTTATTTTTTATACTTTGGAGTATCTCATTATTTATTTTAAATGGTGATTTATGATTGATGGGTATTTAACTTGCAAAATAATGTATTCCCAGGAGCTCTGGGGAAGACAGAACAATGCACCAGAGTCTCAAACTCCCTTCCTTGAGCAGAAAGCTGGGGTTAGTTATGCAATTAAGACAGAAACCCAAAGAAGAAGTGAATTCTAACCTTAGCAGGTATTTAAATAAGGCATGCTCTTCCTGAAACTTAGATCTTCTCCCAACAGAGTTCTATAGCCTTTTGAAAACATATCAAATTCCTTCATTGTCATTTAATTTTATTAAAAGGCAAATGACAGGTTGCTTCTGGCTCTACCTTGTGTCTGGTCCATAAGACCTTGAAAGGCTCCAAAAGGTCGAGTGCCCAAGTTTAATGTCTTTGATTCGGAAAGAGAGATTGTAAGGATCATATTCACTTGTGTGGATGTTAAGATGCCCTGGAACATCTCAGAGGTTATATCTAAGCTGCAGTACTTAAACAGACACAGATAAAACCATATGTTTAAACGTGGTGTTAGACATGAGACTTGCCTATCAAAAACACATGGGTTTTTTTCCTCCCTTATCTGACTTTCTCATGAATCACTTGAATTTCAAGTCATCTAGTGCACTGCTCTTCCTCTTAGAGGATCATGTAGGACAGTCTCAAGTAATTCAGTAAGTAATGATGTCAGGTTTGCGATTAATGCTCTACTAAGCCCATTTTCTCTCTGGTTGTTAGGATCCTGGTCTTTCTTAAACCACAGAAAACTAGGCAGAGTTTAAGTTTCACTGAGTGCAAAGATAGATCCTGTCCCTCTGCTACCAACAAGCATCATCATCAGACATTTCTATCCTCATGGGCTTTTCTTGGCATATATAATTATAATTTAGTTGGCGATGTTGGAAAATTATGTTTAATGAGAAAACTCTGGGCATTACCACACGTCATCTGTATTAGTTAATTAGGTGGGTGGATGAATAATGTCCTATGAACATAAAATGTGCCTTCAAATTAATCTTTATTAGGAGGACAAGTGCAGGCAAGCAAATCATGAGGGAAGGGGTAACCTTACCTTTTTCACTCAAGTCCGTTTCAGGAGCATCTGAAATATCACTGTTATCATAACAAAACTTCACTTACTTGCTTTGAGACTACCTGCTTTAAGATTCTATCACAGTTGAGCCACATGTGACAAATTTTGCAGAGGGGTGACAAATTTTGCAGAGGGAACAATGAAGTGGCTATCTATACCCAACTGGGCTTCAATATCGTCTTTTATCAAATCTGACTTCTATAAATTTAATGAATCTTTTACAAATTTTTTTTAAAACTTTAAAATCATGGATTTAATATAATGTTTGTAAATGTTTATTTTAAGAAATTGCTTAAAGTTTCTCTCTTTTCTCTTTTTTTATTAAATCATAAGTGCATAGATCATGTATACATTAATGCATGTATGGGGTACAGTGTGTTGATTTCATATAGAATTAGTGTGTACATCACACTGGTTAATATAAACCTCATCTCCTTTACTTACTTATTGTGCTAAGACATTTACTCTATACTTAATAAATCCAGCAAGTACCCTTGCATTATAAAATGTCTCTTATGGATGAATTCACCTTACAGACCAGGCACACAAATGGACTGACACAAGCTGAGCATCTCTAATCCAAAGATCCAAAACATTTCAAAGCAAATGCTCATTGGAACATTTCATGTTTTAGGTTTTTGGATTAGGGATTCATGTTTTTCTTTGGGTTATTTCCCTTTAGCCCTAAGAACTTCCTGTAGCATGCTTTATAGTACAGGTCTGCTGGTGATGAATTCTTAGTTTTCTTCTATCTGAAATGTCTTTATTTCGTCTTCATTGTTGAAGGATGTTTTTTGCTGGATATAGGCTTCTGGGTTGAACAAGTTTGCTCTCTGAGCACCACTGTCTTCAGGTTACTGTAGTCTTTCCATGAGAAGCTCATAGCCATTAAAATCATTCTTTCCCTGTATATAGTGTGAAATTTCTCTCTGCTCATAGGATTTTATCTTTGGTTTTCAATAGTATGATTATGTCTCGAGGCATTTTGTCTACGTGGGCATTTAACCCACCATTTGCTACCATTCTTTAATCTGTAACTTTGTGTCTTTCACTAAATTAGGGAAGTTTTCAGCTATTGGTTTTTCAAATATATTTTTCTGTTCCATTCATTCTTTCCTTCTGAAACTCCAAATACCACACATCAGACCTTTGATACCGGCACACAAATCCCTGAGTCTTTGCTCATTTTGTCTTTTTCTTCTCCCTCTTCTTCAGATCTGATAATTTCCACTAAGGTATTTTCAAATTCACTAATTCTTTCCTGCATTCTCTGGCATCATCTCTCCATTCTTCTGTTAAACACATCCAGCAAGCTTTTTACATTTTCAGATATATCTTTTAGTTCTAGAATTTCCATTTTGCTCTTTTAAGTTTCTGCACTGAGATTTACTGTTTTTAATTCATCAGAGGTGTATTTTCCTTTCTGTCATTGAACATAGTTAAGTAGCTACTTTGAAGTATGCTGATTCCAACATGTGGATTATCTTGGAGTGTGCCCCATCCGATCACCTTCTCTCTCTCTCATTTTATTTATTTATTTATTTATTCATTTATTTTGTAGTTTTTTGGGGTTTTTGGCCGGGGCCAGGTTTGAACCCACCAGCTCTGGTATATGGGGCTGGCGCCCTACTCCTTTGCGCCACAGGCACTGCCCTCACCTTCTGTCTTGAGAAGGGGCTGCATGCTTTGTTGTAGAGACCCTGCATCTTGCTGTTTCCATTCAGAGTATACATGTTTTTCTTCCAGCAGGCAGTTAATTTGGTTAAGCTACAAGTGAAAGCTCTGACTGTGACAGGTGGCAGCTCAAGCCCTCCTCCAGCCCCTTTGACCTTAGCTCAGTATTTTTGGTGTGCTCCTCCCACACTTGGCTCAGAAGTCAGCCAGAGACAGGGCAGAGCTCATACACAGAATTTGGGGCTCTCCTTCTCTAGCCTTGACCTTTCCAGGTTTCCCCCTCAATTTCTCATGGTCAGGGTTGCCCAAGCTTTGTCCCCTGCTCAGACCAAACTAATGCTGCTGATTAAGGTTTAGATTCCCCAGGACACATGGTTACTGTGATCTGCTTTTAGGCTGAAGCCCTAAAAACAGAAAATTTACCGTGTCAGTCCCTCAGTCAAAATTTCAGCTCTTCTCCCCAATCTTCCCACTTTTATTCCCTCTCCAGAGCCTTCAAGTAGCCCTTTTCTTCTTTTTAGTTAGTCCAGAATGTCTAGTTGACATCTCTAGGAGGCTTGGTCTGTTAGGAGTTAAAGACTCCTACACCCGGCATAATCTCTCCAGGGGAGGTTTGCATTTTGAAATGGCACCATTTCCCTCATGCAGCACAGGTATTTTTTTAAAAATCACTCAAATGGAAATCATAATGCTTGTTTGGGTCCTAGTCTCAGTAACAGTTGGCCACCTAATTATTGGTATGATTAGTAATTATTATATTGTAATTAGTCCATAATTATAGTTAGTTAATTGTTATAATTAATAAGACATGGTGCTTTTTGGCCTGTAGGTAGAAAGACCTGGCCATCCTTAAACATTCATACTTTATAGTCTTTTAATTCAGTATCTTGAAGTCTCAGAGTTAATTTATTTAATAGCATTCAAAGGCATTTCATATATTATGTGGCAGAAAGGATAACCTGGTGTTTGAAGACATAGTCACATGTTAACGTGTATGAGTTGCGTGCTTTTATTCAGATTGCCTTAAAAATGCTCCACCCCTACTTTGCTTTATGCTTTAGTTTTTCCTAGGCACAAGTTTTTTCATTCAAAAATAATAACTGGAAAGAATTTTACTTTTAATTTAACATCACCTTTAAGAAGTTTTTTGTTTGTTTGCCTCTTAGGAAAAAGTGCTGCAAAGGATATAAATTTGTTCTTGGACAATGTATTCCAGAAGGTATGTAACGTAACAGATGATGTCGTCTCTCTTTATTAGCACGTAATCATTAGACATCCGTAGAGATGGACACGGAATGTAGGTGTGGCATCTGCGTCTGATTATTTGTATAATTCTTTTTTTTTGGCATTAAATTCTTCTGATGCCAATTTCATTAGCTGTAGCATGCTCAGTCTAAATCATTACATGATGTGCACACACACCGAGTCATTCTTATACAGCTTAATAGGCTATAATTCCCAAAGTGGCATTTCATACACAATTAGGACACAGTCCTCCTCCCTGACTCTCCACTTGCTTTCTCTACCTGCTCTTCACGTGCTAATCTTTCAGCCCTTTTGTGGCAACATCAGTAAACACCATCTGAGTGCTCAGCCCAGCTTTGAAGAGACAAAGCAATGTGAGACACAGGTCCCGCCCTCAAGGGGCGTATGTTAGAATTGAAAGGGGACGTGGATTGTACGGAATCCAGTATATCGGGATTTTAATCATGTGTCCACATCCTACTAGCTATGACCTTGGGAAAGTTAACTTTCTCAGCCTTAGTTCTTATGGGCAAGCGTTAGTACTTGGGACACATGGCTGCTTTAAGAATTTGCCACATGTTCAAGTACTTGGAAAGAGGCTGGTTCTTATTAAGTGCTTGATAAATGGTGGCTGTTGTCAGTGCTGCTGCTGTTAATAGTAACTGCAGTACGTGCACTAGGGACACTCAGTGAAGCGAGCGTTAGAGGGGAATGCAGCACAGAGGACCAGGCCAGTCAGAGGCGGTCTCAGAAATGAGGGCAGACTTGAGCCCAGATTGTCAAGAAAGGCCGCCCAGGACTCTCACAAGTGGAAGGAAGAGTGCTGCCGAGAAAGCACCAAGGACTGCTTGGAGATCATGGCCTTGGTTTGCTCAGGGCTATTATGGCACGGGGAGGGATGGGTGGGAAATGCGAAATCATGTTCTTCACTATTGTCTAATTAGCCAGGTCTCTGCAAAAGATCTGGAGCTCAGCCAAGCTTATTTTATTGCATTATCGCAGAGAGCAGTTTGGGGGTTTTTTTGTTTGTTTGTTTGTTTTTTCACTCAGCCATAGATGAGCCCCTCCTGTTTGTTGCTCTGTTCCATGAAAGGATGGGAGAGTTCATTGAACCATAGCTGTGACCTATGAGAAAGCAGCCATCGGCACCTCCACTTCACACATGATGGTTGATGTAGCCTTGGGTCTCTCTAAGTCAAATTTTTCTGTGCCAGCCAGTTCCTTTGGTTAGTGCATGGTGGAAACAACCACAAAAGTCGAAATAATTGCATTCCTTTGCAGGCCAGCTTGTCCCCATCACCAGCTGCGTCCTTTATATTGCAGTGGGCAGATACCAAAGACAATCAAGTTTAGGTCAAGCAATTTAAGATCCTAATTAAAGGCCTTGTCTGGCTTAATTAAAAGCACATTACATGGATGCCACATACTTAGAGTTTCTTCGAATGTTAGGTACTGTGGTTTCAAACGTCTAGGCCTAAAACTAGTCTCCCTCACCCTAAGCTGAGACTACGGCACCTATATAATTAATATAACCCAGACCTGAGTATCTTCAGGAAATGATACAGATGTTGCTTTGCCAATAACTCACTCTCTGTTCAATGGCTTTTCACTAGAACACTTTTTTAGAGGTGATTTGTTTTAATCTTGTGAGAACAAGTCAGTGATTTTTTCTTTTACTGAAGGTCTCTTCAGTTATAAAAAGATTTCTATCACCTAAGAATACAAAGTACAAATGCAGGATTTTAGAAAAGATTGCAGACATGTGTCAGGGTTCTCCAGAGAAACAGAACCAATCGTACCAATGGTGTGGGTATATGGAGAGAGAGGGAGGGAGGGATTCAGTGGGACTGAGTGAGAGATTGAGATTTTTTTTTAAGGCATTGACTCATAAGATTGTGGAGATGAGAGTCCAAAATCTTCAGGGTAAGCCATAGGGTAGAGACCCAGAGAAGAGATGGGATTCAAGTCTCTAAGCCTTGGGGGAATTAGGGTTTTTTCCTAAAAGTAAGGTCTTCGCCAGATTGGATGAGGCCCACTCACATTATGAGCAGTCATTTGCTTTACTCAAGGCCTACTGATTTAAATATTAATCTCATTTTTAAAATACCTTTGTAGAAGTATCCAGAATGTTTAACTAAATATCTAGGCTTTGACCTAGTCAAGTTGTCACATAAAATTAATCATCACAAATCTATGCCTTGTTTAATTGGGCACATATGTCTCCTTAAACTACATTTAACATCCAAATAAAGACAATAACAAGGTCATACATCCACTTAACATTATATAAGGATCCTGGGTGAAAATGCATGATTAACCCAAGGACACAAAGTTCTTGACACACTGTAATTCAAAGTCTGTGATATGAAGTTAACAATACTTAAATACTATGATATAAAGCTGATGCACCCTATGACACGTGGTAATGGGATAAGAGGGAAGAAAACAAAGATTTGCACATGCATCCACATAGATTCATAAAAACGTACTCATGACAATTACAGTGCTTTTTTTTTTCCTGTAACTGGTCACATGGTCACAGCTGGTATTTATAACTACCACCTCCTACTAACCTTTTCTGTATTTCCTTTGCTCTCAGCAAGCATCTCACCTGGTTGTGGTTGGTTCTTTCCCTGGTAAGGTGACCCAAACCTTCATTTCTGAGGGATCTGAGACTTGACTTCTGCTTAAACTGGGTCATTGAGGTTTTCTGTGACTTTAATCGCAGAGCTTGGTGGTGCTAAGGGACAACCTCTAAGGCGTTTCTTGCATTCTAGAAATACTCCTCCTGACCTCCACTGTGGAAGTGCTAGTATGGTTTCCCCGTGGCAGTCAGGCTTAATCCTCCCAGCCGAAACAGTAATTCCTTTTTTGCTGGTTGGTGCCGAGGCATGAGGATCCCTAAGTGTAGGTGGTATTTTAACTTTTAGTTCACTGGAATCGTTGTTTCTCCTTTTGAGAAGCATTTCCCCATTTGGCACTAAGACCATTAGGCCAGCAGAGTAGAAAGCCGTGGAAACAGGAAGCAGAAATTTTGCCAGTGGATCACTAGAGAGAGGTACCAGTGGTGCCACACCCATTTCTACCCCTTGATTCCCGGACCTGTGAGTCCTGCTAATGGTAGAACCACATCATCTGTTGGACACTGATTCAGAGCATAGACCTCTTCCTGTGAACCATGCCTAGGATTAACTGTCAGGGTACAATGGCCTAGCCAAAGTGATACACAATATTAACCGTCAGAGATGACAAAAAAAACCCCAAGAGTTTATAAATACATATGCTAAGTAATAAGTGGGAGCAGCAGTTTTTATAATGTTGCTGCTTCCTATTCACTGTTTGAAGTCAGGGTTCAATGAACTATGGGCTATGGGCTGAGTCCAGCTACCACCTGATTCTATAAGTTTGATTGTGACACAGTCAGACCTACCACTTGAGTACTGTCTATGGCTTCTTTGCAGTACAGCAGAGGACTTGGATAGTTGCAGTAGACATCTGCAAGGCCAGAATGTTATCTGGCCCCTTTACAGAAAAATTTGCTGCCCCCTGGGGTGATATCTTGATTGGCCAGGTGATAGGATGATCAGACTTCTTTTAGTTCAGCAATTATTACTTGAGCATAAACTGTGGGAAGGGAGTAGTGCCAGTGACTCCAGGGTCACAGTCCCTGCCGGGTGGCCAAACAGTCAGCAAAACTAGCAGCAGAGAGCAAGGAAAGCTTTCCCCGTGCACTCAGCACTGTGCTTGCTGCCTCACTCAGCCTGACCTTCACAATAGCAACAAGAAATGAGTGTTATTGTAATCTTCATTTTACCAGTGAGGAAACGGAAGTTTAAAGAATCCAAGAACATGGAGAGTAGCAGAGTTGGCCCCAGAACTCTGTGCTACAAAGCTATGGGCCTCCTAGAATAGGGCGTGGCACAGAGCAGGCACTCGATAAATACAGCAGAGCATGTGAGTAAAAGAAGTGTAGAGTCCTGTGAGTGTTGACAGGATAGATAAACTTAACTCTGTTGAGACTGAGAAAGGCTTCTTGAAGGATGGCATTTACGTTGGCACTTGTTAAACTGCCCAGAATAAGAGCACATGTAAAGTCCAAAGAGTAAGAGTGGAGCAGTGGGTTGCAATGTCATCAGAGGTGAAAATAGAATAAAATCCCAGAGGTGAGAAGGCATGGGCACAATGAAGGATGAAGTAAAAGAGAGTTTAGTCTTGCTATCGCGTAGGGAGCTCAGAGCTAAGTCTTAAGATTAGAAAAGTCTTAAGGGATATAATGCAGACCTCAAAGGCAAGAGTGATCTGTTTGATGTTGATTAGGGTATAGTTTAAAGGTGACATACACAGAGCTCTGCTTTGGGAAAGTTAGCCTGGCAGTGACATGCAGAATGGATTTAAGGAGTGAGACTCTTGGGATGGAGATCCTGTTTTATTTCTAAAGATCTGAGTTAGAATGATGCCAAGTGAAATAGGCCAGAGAGGATAGAAAGGAATTATAAAAATAAAAGCTGCATAACTGAAAGCTGATGGACTCTGGGAAACAAGCATCAGAAAGGACTATAAGTCAATTTATTAACCTTGCCTCCTACAGAAACTACACAAAATAGGGGAGGAAAGAGATTCATAAAAGACATAAACCCACAAGGACAAAGAACAGAGAAGAGAAGATAATAGCAACAAATTTTGGAAGCTGGAGGACAAGATGGGAGGTTGCAAATAGCAAAGCGGGAGAGGTGAATTTTTAGGTAGCATCAGGAAAAACTAAGGAGTAGTCCAGTTTATGCCAAAACAAGTAATAATCAATAAAACTAAAAATAAACTGGAAGTATGGATGAAAGTGATGTCAAAAACAGAAGGATTGACTAAAAATCTATAAAATGTCTCCTCCACACAGAATATTGCCTCTTTCACAACCAGGCAGAAGACTAAAGGTATATTTTCTGAGAGAGGACATGAGAAGCTTTTGAGACTGGGAGAGAGCCAAGATGAAACTAAGGGCTCAATACTGAAAGTGGAGGGATTCTGTAAATGCTTACACATTGAGTATTGACTTTACTCTCATGCAAGGACTTGGACATTCTAAACAACTGATGAAAAAAAGTCTTAAGGAAAATGTCATTGGAATGTACCAGTCAAGTCACGTGCACTGAAGTCTAGAGTTTATAAAATCTACCATATGCAAAGAGCTTCTCTATTTAGCTATGTTTACTGTTCAACAAGTAAACTAGCATTGATATCCAAGGATATCAACATTAAAGGGAAGTCTTCAGAGAGAACATACAGGGAACAGGATCCTTAGAGAAAACACAAAGTACACAGAAGAAAACATCAAGATAAGTACCATTTTATACCTCAGAGAGATTATAAAGATGACATAATATCTATGAAACAAAAATACGGTATCAATAAAATGGAACATTAAAAGAAGAAATAGAGAATTCTTGGGAATTAAAAACACGACAACAAAATGAAAACAGTAAAAGGATTTGGAAGATGAGATTGAGTAAAATTTCCAAGAACTAGTGCAAAAAATCAAAGAAGTTAAAAATGAGACTATTAGAGGAACATTCCAGGCAATGTAGCATCCAGATAATTAAGGGTTCTACACAGAGGGAACAAAGATGAAGTTATTACAGATATAATCCAAGAAAATTCTCCAGAATTGAAAAATACGAATCTTAGATATAAGGGGCTTACCAAAGATTAAAATAGTCCCACAGAAAGGCACCATTGTGAAATTTTAGCACACTAGGGATAAAGCGTCCTAAAATTTTTCAGAGAGGAAAAATGAGTCATACAAGATCAAGAATTAGAATCTCAGAGGACTTGTTTATAGAAATAGTGAAAGCTGGAAGACAATGGAGCATGCCTTCAGAAATCTGAGGTAAAGTTTTCCCACCTAGAATTATATATGCAGACTATTAGTAATCATTAAGTGTTAACAAAAGATATTTTTATACATGAATGATCCTAAAACTTTCCCCTCTGTTGTGACCCTTCTCAGGAAGCTGTAGGAGGATGATGCTCCACTGACAGAAGGGAGTGAACAGTGAGAGAGGGAGATGTGGGATTCTGGGAGGCCGAGGCAAGTGGATTGCCTGAGTTCCGGAGTTTAAGACCAGCCTGAGCAAGAGATCCCATCTCTAAAAAAGAAAAATAACCAGGCATTGTGGCGGGCAGGGCACCTATAGTCCCAACTACTTGGAGGCTGAGGCAAGAGGATGGCTCGAGCCCAAGAGTGTGAGGTTGCTGTGAGCTATGACACCACTGCACTCTACTGAGGGCAACAAAGTGAGACTGTCTCAAAAAAAAATTATAAAATGTCTAATGTGTTAGGGATGTTAAGAAGAGATTTGCAATACTAGGGGAGTTTCTAGGATGAAGGATCGATTTCATCCG